ACCGCAAACAATACGAGTTTAGGAGTTTAAAGGGTTATCATGTCAATTACGTGTTTATTTGTGGGATCTTACCGTCATTTAAATCTTTTAAAAATTGACTGAAAATTCATCATAAAACGATCAAAAAGTTTTAAATGGACACGCACGACTCAAGAGCAATGGTAAAACAGTTAGCTTCCCCCGTTTCAAGATATTTGGATCACTGTACAGTTCTATCGGTTTACTTGACCCAATATACCGACTAGAAATTTATGGATGTATAAAATATGTTTGTAGCTCTACTGTTCTCCTTTGTTTGTGTATTACTATAATACTGCTTGCATTAAGTAAGACAAGATCTGATAATAGAGGTATAATTACTGGCAAATTACTACATAATTAGGATAATTAGCCATTATTAGGATAATTAGCTATTATAATAGCCACAGAAGGGGTTTTGCTGATTATTTTATAATTGAGCTCTATTGTTATCATCAAATTGACCAATCTGCTAGCAGCTGTAACTATTAGTGTAAAGAATGTACCCCACAATCTACATATAATGCAACTCCTATAATTATATAGAGATATAGGCATACGACTCATTTTAAGATCGCATCCCGTGTGTACAATACGCTGTACTCTGAGATATCTACAAATTTGCAAATCATGACTTTGAGTCAGGGGTAGGGCGTGTAACCAATCTCATTATTAATAATTACTATCAATAATGATGTGTATATGCTCTATTAATTTCCCGCCAATCGCCAATGGTTGGTGTCAACTCTCGGATAAAGAGAGAGAGAGAGAGAGAGAGTAATCACGTGTAATATCTTCAAGCTGTTCATTAATTAACGAACGATTAAAAGTCATTTATCTCTAATTAGCTCCAATTATCAAAGTAACATGATACAGCAAAATTAATTATTGTGAAAAGTATAATAACCCTCTACTTTCACCAGAGTCCCTTTAAATTACAGAGTAAATATTATTCAACTTCAAAAATTTGTTAAAATCTCAGTTTCTCCACACAAAAATGTTCTTTGGGTCCGTCCCTCCATCAAACACTTGCGAAACGTGCCACCAAAATAGGAGTAATTATCCCAAATATGGTAAGAATAATATACAAATTATTGAGGAGCAGGTTAAAGCGGTAGCTCCTCTATATTGAGACTGCAATTATTTTATTGGCTCATTAGAGCCACGTGACGGAGGTGTGACAGAGGGATTGGAGGTTGGATCTGGGAGTTGATAATGAGGAGCACCTGCTACTCCAGCGAGGGTGCAGACCCACTATATTACCATGTGTTCTCTCTCTCTCTCTCTCTCTCTCTGGTGTGAGGAGCGCGGGGAGCCCCCCGTGTCACTCCACTACCCCCAGACACACATTTCCCACATCTAATACAAGACTGAAACCCAATCCGAGGTAATTATCTGTGGCTAGTTTACCAACTTGCTGACAGGTGAGAGGGTGTCTGGTTGGTTGGATAGTGTCACGTGACTAGGCTAGCCACCGCTGGTTGGGTGCCTTGTTAGCAATGATGTTTGGATACAGTGATTATATAACTATGTAATGGGTTCTATAGACTTATTAGATAATTGTCCCTGTGGAAGCCAAAACAATCAGAGAGGCCTCTCTTGGTGGCACAACGTAGTTAGAGTCAGAGCGGCCCGTTACCTAGCGGGCTTCTCCGTCTGGCTGCCTGGCCTACTTCTGACTACAACTAAAATATTACACATAAATATCATATTATTCAAAATATATAATGTACAGCAAGTAGTATTTTCAGGGCGTCTTGTACGTCACTGATATAGGAATAGCCGATATATGTGGACATGAAAAGAGTACATTATTTGTGACACGTGCATTTCTAGGATCTTTGGAGCCTGACGGACAAAATCCTCCGACTGGTCAGGAATTTATTTCATCAGGCCAGTGAGCAACGCCGCCCCGTACAAGGTACATGGATTATTCAATATATTAGTACATACTGACTTAATAACCTAATATTGTAGATAATAGAATATGAATATATTATTATAATGCAGCGAATGTGCACTAGTTAATATAGTTCAGTCAGTTTAAAGCGAGTTTAACGTATTCTTAACACCACCATTCAGTCTGCAAATGGTGATTAGGCCACAGACCCTTCAGATGTTTAAATGTTTGTGTGCTTATATACGCAGCAAAATCAAGGATTCAGCTTACTTCTGAGAAAAATGTTCTCCCAAATTTGCAAAATTCCAGAAAAAATAACCTTCTACTACTTCTCGGTGTTTTGCAAACAATTAAATCGGTCAACGTGAGGCTAATTGTTTAACCTGGGGTGAGTACTTTAAGCTGTTTGCTGTGAACAAGCCGCCTCATTAACGGTGATCAACAAGTCTCGCAGGGTAATCACGTAGTTATCATTCTGTTTTACAGGGTACCACTAGAACTGGACCAAACTACTTTGAGATGAATCCTGCCAAAACTTGAACTGAACTTGGTAGTAAGATTTCAAATATTCGTAACCCTACTTAATATAGACATCAAAGACATCGGATCTGCTGAGGATATATTATGTCTTAAACCTCTGATGTGTATAGAAGAACAAAACTAATGACATTATATAATGCGCATCTTAAATTTGCCGAGCTCACACTTTTTGTAGTGACCGTAAAAAACCAGCCGCCTAATTGGGTCCGCCTCTTTAATAAAGTAATAAGGTCTAAACGATTAATTGAGTTAATGGCCCGCGGTCTAATGGCAAAGTATTCGAAATGCTACGGAAGCAATTACTTGAAAGCCGTACCAATAAACCGATGGAAAAACTCGCGAGAAACTCGGTAAAAAAGATGGCATATACCGTGGAGAATTGATGTATTGGTTTGTAGCAGGCCACAGAAATTACCAGTTTAAGATGTTAACTGTTAAGTCATCCCGCGCTGAGTCCACTCTCTCGCCAAACTGTCAATATTAATACAGCCGGGATGTGAAAATATTCACCTCTTCCACACAGCTATCTCATATTATTGTATGTGACCCACTTTTCCCCGACACAGAAACTCACTTTTAACTCACGTCACGGACAAATATTTGAGGAACACCGCTCTGATGATGGTCACGAATCTTTGATCCAAGGATCTAGCATAATTTTGGAGGTGATCAATTTTAACGCAAGCTGTTACTTGTACACGCATAATATATTCTACTGCGTCTCTCTATGGTTCCCCCGGGCTATGCTAATGTGAACTATTAAAACTCCTTTTATGGAATAATAACAATGCGATTTAGCATGATGTTTACAATATTAGCGGGAGGCGGTAGATTAAGTTTTATTGTTAGCAGCTGGCAGGCCTGCATTTCGATCAAAGAACTTATGGGGTGTTCTGCCCTGATTGCTTTTGCTAAATTTAGATCTGCATATTAATTCTGGTTTCTGGTAACGTCAGCGCAAGCAGACCAGTACGCACTTAGCAGTATTGTGCGTATAACTATAACTCATCCCCTGGATCATACTACCGACAATATGACATATAATAAAACCCCGAAATTCAGCTGTAATAATACCCGACAGTTTACCAGTAGTTTCCTCTGTTACGGCCGAGAGATAAGTTAAGTTAAGCAGACTGTGACGTTAGATGAGAGAGAGAGAGAGAGAGAGAGAGAGAGAGAGAGAGAGAGAGAGAGAGAGAGAGAGAGAGAGAGAGAGAGAGAGAGAGAGAGAGAGAGAGAGAGAGAGAGAGAGAGAGAGAGAGGGATGAGAACTATATAACGTGTAGTTTTACAGATTTTCAACTGTCTCCTGTTTTTTCTCACTTACTAATTCCGTGTCTTATTAGGGGAAGCCAGATGTGGGTTTCTTTGGGGGTTTCTCTCTGTTATACGATGAGAAGTCTAACAACCATACATAAAGTTTGATCCCGCTAAATCATTCTGGTCGATATCTGTAAAAAACAGTTCCAGCTTTGGGAAAAAAGCTGTTTTCTAAATTCTAGGAATTGGCGCCTTTTACAGTGAAATATACGAATATGACTAATACTTTGAAAGAGGATATTTACCTCTAACTGTAGTTTAAACAGTTTGCTAATAGATTTGGATACTGGTGGCGGTGGGAAGGTGTGCTATTGACACAAGACAGCGATTAACCGATCAGCTTCCAGCAGCGACCAATCAAACCCGCGAACAATATCACGTGTCATAAAAACTATGGCTGACCTCGCCACCAGTATCCAAGTCTATTGAGCTCCATTTAAATTGGGGAGGTACAACCTGAAGAACATTGGTGTGAAGCATGGTAGGAGAGGGCGAGTGGGAGCAACTTGGGGGACGGAAGTGTCCAATTAGACATAATTGGTTCGAGAGTCCCTTTTAAGAGTTTTGCGGTGCCATCTGTCTACATAAATATGCAATTTATACTTTACTTTAACCCCCAGAAAACCTTTATTCTCTCGTTTGTTCGGTCGTTTTCAAATTTCAATCCCAGACAAATCAGGTGCATGTATTTTGCAGGCTTCCAGTTCCTTTGAACGGCGTTTAACAAGCCGTATATATAACCAGTTAAGGTAGTTAATTGAGGCGAAATGAAGGGGAAATAAGGAGGATAAACTTTAGGCTGCTCAGTTCATTGATCAATTATAATGCGGAAAACACAGTCTAGAACGGGCAGTGATTAAAAGTAAAATATATCTCAGGACGGGGAGTGTAGTGTCTGTGTAATGGGATACACACATCCCACACTCACATATTATTATGGTATGTAATTTGGGAGCTATAATGGGGGTGCTTAGCAACAGAACAGCTGTAACTCTCTGCAGGAGAGTGTAGGTACCTTGGTTAAAGGTACATTCCACAAAGTAGGAGCGGTACATTCCAGGAGGAGCGGTACATAAACAATTAGTAAACAATCACCACTCCGCAAACTATTTACAGTCTTGAGATATGAGGATTATTGAAGGATCTGTTTGTTATTATTGACATTCCTTAAATTGTTTTGTCGTATTTCTCCTCTTAAGTGAATCGAAGAAAGCAGGCACCGTTAAACGTTCTAAAATTACATTACATATTCGTAAGATACAACTCGAGAACCAACCAAGGAAAGTTATAGTTTAATCTTCGAGATTTTATAAGGAAGCAAAAATAATGAGTTCGGCAAGAAGGGTCGTAGGTGACGTGATTAACGAGCATCTAAATTCTTAAATTGTAGTTTTTTGAAGAAAAGTGTAGGAAAAGAGTCTTATCGCAAAATTAAGGCGAAAATAATGTAAATCCAATTAGATCATAGTGATCCCTCATATTCAAAACACAGAAAAAATTAAATATAATGATTTTAAGCTATATAAATTCACATCATTAGTAAAGAATTATTCACGGTCAAATAAAGATTTTGTTGTCAAAATTAATCAAAACGTTGTTAATCTGAGAACAAGTTATTAAAATGCAAAAAACCACGAGTGATCCCCGAAAAACAAGCCCGAATTCACCTCAGTTGAAGAGATAGTTCTAGAAAGCTGAACAATCTTAGGTGCAATGAGGCTTTTAAAATATTTTCCGCAAAAGGTAGAAATCAAAAAAACTAGATTTAAAAATGTTGACACAATCTTAGCTTAGCTTTAATTAGAGTCACTTTAGTATGTAAGAAACATTTTAACGGCTGAAGAGAGGTGATCCTTAGTAAGACAGCAAATAAATCAATGCGCACGTTAGTAACAACTAATTTGGGTTCACAGAACCTAAAAATAGAATGTGCTCGTAAATTTATGGAACTAGCTAAAACTTTTGTCAGTGAAACCCTGACCACAGGCCGGGATCAGACCTTTAACAAGCTTACTACTTCAAAAAATTAGCAGATCTAAGGAATTAAAAGAATGTTAGAGCAGCAGGAATCCATTTCACAGCTGCTCTGACGCCAGTATAGGCTCTCCTTTTCAGTTCTTCTCCAGTTATCAGCTATAAAAAAAAGAGCCTCTAATAAGGGCAAGGGAGCTGGGCGGTAAGGCTTCTTGTAATCTGATTTAAATAAGAAAATACATCAAGCATCATAAGAGCAGATCATTCTGCCATAGCGTGGGCCGGTTCTGTTGCTGGAGACCTCGTATTTGACTCCTCAGCCACAGCCCGGATTTGTTGCTCGCGTATCAGGTGCCGCTCCTCATTGTTTGTTTGAGATTGTTTGAGGTCAATGATTGAGCGCTGCAGCTCATCTTTGAGCGTCTGTTCCTGTTCCTGAATCAGGGCTCTGTTCTGTTGCTCCTGCTGGATGGAGGACAGGCAGATTTGTTCTGTCTTCATGCGCAGGTGATCAGGAATGTTGATGGAGCGTTGGTTGTTCTCGTCACGGTTGTTGTTGTCACTGTCGTGGCCCTGGTTAACTGCCTGACCGTGACTGTCCCTGGAGAAGAGGTCGTAGTATTGCGAGTACTCGATTACCTCGTCGTCCTTACTTCCTCCTTTCTTCCACTTCTGACGGCGGTTCTGGAACCACACCTGGACAAGGATTTCACACGTGAACTACTATTCTAGTTTATGAATTTGAAAAAATAACTTGCTGAGAACATGCGATAGCCTTAGCGTACTTCAACACCAGCGTGAAGTAACGTTATGAAGTAGAGATGTCAAGTTATCATAAATTTATGATTTCTCGACCTCGCAATAGAAATAAATACACAGTATATTTAAACCTTGATCTGTTCGTCAGTGAGGTCTAGTTTTTGTGCTAAGATCATTCTGTCCTCCGTGCAGAGGTATTTCTTTTGTTTAAATGTTTCCTGAAAAATTTGGAAGTTAGGCATTTTCAGGGATTGGAAACTTTGCGTTTTGATGATTATGGTGGTAAAGTTTTTAGCAATCAATAAACTAATTCATAATGAGATTATGGCGAATGATTTGGGCAGTAATTATAGTCTAATTGACAAGGCGTTACGAAAGTAATAGATATTCTCACCACATCGCACTACATAATTTATTAAAGAGAGGAAATTCAACTCAGGTGCTGCTCATGAGTCTTCTCCTCGAAATTACTACACACAATAAATCTTATCAGCATGACCAGCCGAATTTTGGTTTTAACACTTAATCTGTTAAACATTAAATAAAGAATAGTTTAAGGTCTCTCGTAGGCTATCATAATTTCCGAGAATTTAACAAGACAAGTTTGTTTAAACGGCGTGAAATCTGCGATTTCTGGGATTTCTGTACTTAGCATTGAATGATTAAGACAAATTCGTGTACATAATAATATAATGTAATATTATGACAATGGTAATACCTCCATCTGCTTCAGCTGCTCCCAGGTGAAGACGGTGCGTGGTTTCCTAGAGTTTCTCCCGTTCATAATGTGCAGAGCAGAACCGTCAAACTTGTACTCCGATGCCCCTACATTGGCAGGATTATTATGATGTCCTGGATATTATGATGTCCTGATTACAGTGAAACCTCAATATACCGGGCGACTCGGGCGAAACGGAAGTGCACGGTATAGAGAGGTTTACATGATCCACAGCCTCTCAAATAACCTGACAAGCTTATTATATACCCCATTACAGCCTTACATTCATGTATTGTGTCGTTTTGTCATGAAATATAGCTTGACGTGTACTCAAATCACCATCAAATGTGATATAGTCTATGACAAATCACAATAAAATTCATAAAATTCATTAAATTCATTAACAAATTGGCCAAATAAAGGCTGATTGAGTTTGAGGGAAAAGAAGAGGTCCAGTTTATCGAAGTACCCGGTATAGAGAGGCGCAGGCACAGTATATAGAGGTTCGACTGTATTATATCATATAATAGCTTTGGGACGATTGCGTGGGACGAAAATAGATGAAAGGGGCAATCAAACCATATTTGAGGTGATTTACGTAAATTCGGGAACTAGAACATCAAAAAGCGGAGCAATTTGTAAAGATGAATAATTACATTGCAGTCCGATGCTGTGCCGGCCCCTCTGCGCTAGATTATCAGAAGTGTTCTCAGCTGACGTAGCGAGTTTATCCGAGAACATGTAGGCCATGCTTGGGATGGTTGTAGCAGCTATCTTGTTGATATCAAGGACCCGGGACTTCTGCTGTTCCGTCATGAGTCCGTGCTCGTGAATCTTGGAGGGGGAGAGATTGCTAAAATCCAGGGGCTGTCTGTCGCCAGTGGGAATGTGACGATTTCCTGAAAGTTGTCATACTGTATTATTAAAGAATATGTGTAATTTGCTGATGATGATGACAAATATTTACCCAATAATTTACCGACGGAAAATCCATAATTTCACAGCGAGATTGCACACACCAAAGTCATGATGAATGATGCATTCCATAGAATTAATCATGCCAAGATTTTTCTTAAGATACTTAATTATGCAGCGGCGGGCGAATGATTTGACAAACAATTGCATACCAGCAGAGGACTCAGAGCGTGCCCTGTAGTCTCTAGGAAGTGGGGTAGTAGGAGCTGACGACACGTCCATGCTGCTATCATCCTGCTTATCAGTACCATTGTTCTCTTCTAGTTCTGGGGTCTTTTCCCCGTCAGAAACATGTGAGTTAGAGGCAGGGGAACCCTGTGAACTTGACTTCAACTTGGCTCTCCTGGATCCTTCTTTGACAAACGTGGGCTTGATCACGTTCTCGGGAAGATTGGGGAAGGGAAACGTGTCCACCTGTCGAGACATTATCTCGTGCTGACGTTGCAGGATCTCAGATTGTCGAAAACTGGAGCTGTCAGGGTAAGATTTGAAGGGGGGCAAGCCTCCAAAAGAGGATTGTTTCATTATCTTGGCAGGTCTCTCGCCCGAGGGCTGTCTTTTATCATCCTCAATAGAAGCTACTTTAGGTGGTAAACTGAAAATATGTTTAAAGCTTATAATGAAATCTTGACAACATTTCGGAATAGAATATTATGTAAGATTAATACACGGACTTGTTATAGCAACACTCTCGCATTCTACTCATAATGTTTTAAAATGATACCATGACCAGTAACTAAGTTCGCATACCATGTGGCAGATGAACCATTGCCAGATTCTCCCGACTTGCGCTGAGGTCCTGAAAATGGTCTTATCAGCTAAATTTTATAGCAGTCCGACCAATAATGTTGGGGAAAGTTATATCAAGATACTAATGACAAGGGGAATTTTTCCACTAAACAAATGTAATTGTCTAATGTGATTTGCAAAATAATATCATTCGCTAGAACAGCTGAATATTCTAATACTTTTAAAATCGATAGGATGAACTGACGTCCTTAAATAGATAAGAAATACACGTCAAACTGCGAGGTTGTGGGATAATGAAAAGTATAGGGCGTACACTTACTTTCATCTTTATCAAATTCATCGGAACATGCATCCATCAGATTGGGCTTGATTTGATCCACTGAAAATATACGAATTTTATTAATTTCTTTAGCTTAAATTTACGAGAATTGACCTATTAGGAAGGACAATCTTGATAGTTTTAGTATAAGAAATATTAGGGGCAGTTTAACAACAGGGATTTGTTTGCAATCAGAGAGTTTCTTCTACTAAAATGCAAGTAGGAAACTCAGAAAGAAAACTTACCAAATGATATAACCTTGACAGCAACATCAAGAAGGAAAACGAGAAATTCGTTATCTGACTTCTGTTGGAAATGGAATTCTGTCTTCTGCTTGTGGTAAAGCTTTAAAACATCGGGATTGGCAGATATGGGAGCAAGTTGAACTTCCATCCTATTCATTACAGTTAACAGTGTTATTCAAAACATAAACTATTCTTTCGAAATATATTAAATATGAAAGACACAATATAATACTAATAGCTGAGTGCATACAATAGCTAAGTGCAAGTACAAAAAAACGTGTAAAGTTTAAATTACTAAAACCCTGTCGAGTTGATTCGGAAAATCGGCACAAGAATGTTGTCTCACTTGTCACAGCCGAGTCTGTAATAGTATTAATTAGACTGCCAAAGATCTTTTTATTGCTTCCAGTACTAGTACTAGACAATTCAAATTTAAAGCAGACTTTGAGTTTCGACACGGTACAAGGATCTGATTCGTCCCAAGCTCAACTGTGTAACAACTGTAAAAGTTAGCCCAATTTTAACCCCATGTACTTTTAGTCCTAGTGCAGTGGTAAAAGAGATCAATAGTGACAGTAGATTTGTGAATAACTTATGCTTCAGTCCAATACAATTGTGCTGGCCTGGATCTTAGACTACCCTGCCCTCAAGTGAATATATTCAATAATGAGCAAATTTACTATTCAGATTTTACATTATAGGGCTTTTGACTACATACAAATTAAATGTAAAAGAATCCTTTAAATTGAGTATAATAAATAATTCTAATGAAAATTATAAAACTTACATCATAAACGGTATTATACTATATCATAATATGGTAGTATACCATACGTGTAATTCTAATTCCTATGATAGTCAATAAGTTCTATTTCAAGAACTTTGAGGCAATTCTAAGTGTTGAAGACAAATTAGAAGGATTTAAGAAAGATATAATTTCTAAAAGTTTTGTAAATGAATTTTATTTTTAAATGTTTCTATGAAGTAATAGGAAGATTTTAGGGGACCAATTATGATAATAATAAAGAAAATCATAATGAATATATTAGGTTGAATCCACATATTGCTAAAAAAGGTTTAATTAACTTACATAGTAGTGGAAAGCATAATTGATTTTTATTGTGTCTTAGTGCCTAGCATTTTATTTTAATTTATAAATGTCTGTAGAAATATTTATGATGATGTGTGATGATGTTTGTGTCATTATTATTTGATTTGATTTCTGTATTTTAAATGCCACTTTTCAAATCAAATCAAATCATAGGAGCTTAGAAAACATTGGTGAGTGATACAGGCCAAATATGTTACACTTTTCAAGAAACATACTCTACATAAAATTTGCTAGTGTCAAAAAATGTATAGGAGTGGGATGCCATGAAAGAAATGCTCAGAAGGGTCAGGTATGGGACTCTAGGACGTGAGACTCTAAAGCATGAGACTCTAGGGCACGGGCGTGAGATTATAGGGCATCGCCCTCAAGAACAGGACATAAGCCCAAGCAAGTCAGTTATGCTGCTAATGTGGCCCAATGCCCAGGATCAAATCAAAAGAAATCTTTGTGACAATGGAGACTTTAAAATGTAAAGTCAACTTCCGTAAATCAAAATTACAGCTCCCTTGATTTAACAAATACAGCCTCTACAAGCATCCAGTGGCGTAACGAAGGGCCCCGCCGACCCAGAGGGGGGGGGGCGCAATCTTAGGGGGGCGCCAAATCGTTGTTTGAATGTGGGACAATTTGGAAAAACTTAACTACGGTACTGGCAAAACTGCGCGTTTTGCTCTAGAAACACACTTTTTAGAGATTTTACCGGCGTATCCTCTAAAATCATCTAATTAGTTCAATTTAAAGGAAGGGGCGCCAAAAGGGGAGGGGGCGCCAACAGGCAACGTTACGCCACTGCAAGCATCAAACGATTTTGAAATTGAGGAAGCTCACAATTGTAAATATGTTTTGATTTAGAAGCCTACTACATTTCATGCCCTAAAATCGATGTTCAGGACATATGCCAGCTTATTCACCTCTTTGAGATTTAACCCATATCAAGACTTGAGTTAACTCAAGGAGGGCCTGCCAAACGATATCAATGTTGTAGGGTTACCCTTTACTTCACATATACTGGAGCTATGTTATTTTATATTCTGATTTATATTCTAGATATTTTATTTATTTTACAACAGACGACAACTTCCTGTTTTTTCTTCTATATTAGTTACTCATATCTCTTGTACAGACTTTTTTACAAGGACATTGACAAATGATACTCACATTAGGCATTCATTATTGCATCTAAATTATTTCACTTGCATTAGGCTTAGAAATTTATTCTCTGGTCAACAGATTTCAAATGTTTAATTAATTTGTAGTATGACAGTAAGGTATATAAGAAGTTATTTAATTTTGCTTGGGCTATTATATTGACTAGGTATTGAGGTTTAATGATGATATGGAATTTGAATTCTATATAAATTTACACTATGTGGTTGGGGCATTTTGCATAGTAAATATGGTTACTACTCATATATATCATATTATTTGATTGGTATTCGATTTCTGATTATTTCTCTAGGAATATGATTATTATATCTCAATTTGGCTTTAGGTAGGGTGCCCCGCTAAAAGAACTGGATTCTTCCAGGAAGCATCCCGTGCACAGAGCTTGGTCTACATATACATTAAATTATTAACCATTCATTCTGTATGTGCACGAAAATTTATTTCAATATCAATATCACACAGGAGGAGGGTTCTTGAACAAATGTGAAATGAGTGATGTGAAAGTTTTGTCAGCACGAGTTTATCAAGAAGACTTTGACGGGATCCACGTAGACATACCTGCTCTAGAACACCAGGCAGCTGGGTAAGGACAGATGAAACATCCAAACAAAATGAAAGACTGGCAAGGAGGTTTTATTTACAATCGATTTATATTATCAGGCACTGCACACTGCACAGTCACTTATACGATACATGCCATGAACAAATTGAAGATAATATCAGAGCAACAGAATGAAACAGGTCGGTCACACTGATATTTGATTGCACAAAAAACAGAGCAGCCTTAATGTTTATAGAGACATGAAATGGTTACCACTCCATCTTAGACGACAACTCCATCTGTCAAATTATATGTTTAGAATCATCCATGACAATTGTCCTACAAACTTTATGAACAAATTTAGTTACATATCAGGAGGTAGTAGGAGCGGCGAAAGCTGCAACCTATATGTTAATAGATCAACATCACATAAAAACTTTCAATACTTGGGGGCAAAATGTTGGAATAATGTTCCAACAGATCTACGAAATCTGCCCGATGTTAAAAGCTTAAGTGATTCGTATAAGAAACAGCTACTCTCATCTATAACAACAGACCCTAATTATACCGTCGACAATTCATATGACAAATTTTACACTGCAATCATAGTCGACGATAACTAAGTATCTTCTAATTCTTTTAAATCTGAGGCATATATAATTGATGTATCGAAAGGATTTTCCCTTTTTTTACCTTTTTTTGATTGATTTTGCACATGACTGACATGTTTTAACTGGAGGAAGGGTTCGCACAGTGGTAGTTTTATAAACCACTTTTAATTTATTGACCTATTATACCTAGTGGTAGTTTTATAGACCACATTTAATTTATTTACTTATTATACTTAGTATTTATTTTTGGTGACTGTATCACCCAGTTTTAACATTTGATAATTGTACAGTTTATTAACGACACATTGACTGAATGTTATTTTATATTCTAATTTATATTCTAGATATTTTATTTATTTTTCAACAGACGACAACTTCCTGTTTTTTCTTCTATATTAGTTACTCATATCTCTTTTACAGACTTTTTTACAAGGACATTGACAGATGATACTCACATTAGGCATTCATTATTGCATCTAAATTATTTCACTTGCATTAGGTTTAGAAATTTATTCTCTGGTTAACAGATTTCAAATGTTTAATTAATTTGTAGTATGACAGTAAGGTATATAAGAAGTTATTTAATTTTGCTTGGGCTATTATATTGACTATTGAGGTTTAATGATGATATGGAATTTGAATTCTATATAAATTTACACTATGTGGTTGGGGCATTTTGCATAGTAAATATGGTTACTACTCCTATATATCATATTATTTGATTGGTATTCGATTTCTGATTATTTCTCTAGGAATATGATTATTATATCTCAATTTGGCTTTAGGTAGGGTGCCCCGCTAAAAGAACTGGATTCTTCCAGGAAGCATCCCGTGCACAGACCTTGGTCTACATATATATTAAATTATTAACCATTCATTCTGTATGTGCACGAAAATTTATTTCAATTTGATTGCACAAAAAAACAATAAATTACAGACAAGAAGGCCGGGCGACAAATTGTAGCTTCATGGTATGTCAGTGTGTCTACTGTCAATGTGTCGATTGGATTTTACAATTCTTTCTCTAGAGGCTTATCATCTTAGTATTAACAATTAATTTTAACGACGCACAAAAATAAATTCGAATCAATTTTAGTTCAATTTATCTTTCTACGAATATCATGTAAATATAATTTAAGTAAAAAGCTTTATGAATATCTTCATATAATGTGGTTTTTAAAAATTATTTTAATATAATATAAACGTATAATATATTTATATATAATCAATAATATGATTTATTATATGAGTCGTTATTAGATATTTAAGTATTTGGGCATGAAGTGGTAGCAAACATAATTAATATTAATTAATTGTGCAACATGCATAACCTTACTTCATGGTTGCAGGGCGGAGCCGGTGCCGTTTGTCTCGGCCTCGAGTGGCGAGTGCTTGCCCATCGAATACACGATTGAAACACTAATTATTTACTGGCATTCTACAGTTTCCAAAACGAAGTACGAAGGTATATTAACTTTGAGCTTTGTTTTGGCGACTGCTTCATCGATGGGCGAGTAGGTATTTGTTGTTTAGCAGTGTTGAATATTGGAGCAATTATATAATGTATATCTCCATCATAATATAGGCTAGTGTAACAATATATAATCAATAATACAAACAAATAGTATTATATTATTGGTAACTCGCTAGATTATAAATGTTATTTAAACACATATGTTTACGTCAATTATTACTAAAATTAATATTCTTTTTGCTTAAATATAATTACATGTCACATAATTGATTAGTTGAATGAAATGTGTGCTACAAATGTCTACGCCTCACGCAGAACTGCGTACCGCTTAGTACTTCATGCTTGAGCGGTACTGCTGTTCACAGAGGCGCGCATATAATAGCACTCAATTTAATCACAAATAACGAGCGCGCGGTTTTTGGAATTTCTCCATTAATATTTTTCGATCTATTAATTAGATCGCAGTGCTCACGGCCTGTACTGCGGGAACGACAGAAATATGTTTTAAATTATTTTGCTTCTGAAATTTTGGCTCTAGTAATTAAGAAATGCGACATGTAATTGTAAGATAACAATTAAATAGATTCTGTGCGCGGCGCCTACAGCTGACCTACGAATTTCTGAACAATTGAAAATTGTGGCTGTGTGCGCGGCGTACTGTATATGTGTTTGAAATTGAAATTTGAATTTATTTATGAATATAACATTATGTATTGATTGTTTTGTGGTAAATAAAACATTTTTCTTTCCTAAAAAAATGTTTCTTTCCTTACTGGGCCGCGCTCAGCCTGTCATTCCGCCGAATCTCTATATATATATAATATGTTTTTGAACATGATAGCCTGAGGTCCCCAGGTAAGCATAACCTTGTTACTAAATGTTTAAAAGTTTTATCTAACTTCAATCATGATATTATAAAATATGTTTTATTTATCTTTTGATTTGCAGTTCATTTAAAAAATTTATTACACCTGCTTTTGATCAGACGTCTCCGCACTACCTAATTGAAAATGTAAATCCTTCCTTCTAGCGCGATGCACTATATACTGGGCCGCGCCGCGCATCAAATAATGCTTATCGCAACCACTTCGTTCGATCGGCAAGATACACCAATAGTACCACGCCGAACTGCGAAGGATTGACACTGTCAATTATTATATTAACGGGTGATACTCGTAAAATATCCCAGAAAACCTTACCGCCTGCTGGGCTTGCTAGAGGTGATAGATTTTTATTTCAACAGCACGTTTGGCGTCGCGCGTCACATCGAGTTTACCTTTCGCACGCTGCATTTAGTTTAGTAGTCATGACAACGACATGACTTTGCAAAGTTTAAAAGCTGTGACCTTTTATTTAGCCAAAAATCAAACTTTTCGGTTTAATTCAGAATCTAAGTTGTCCCAAATTGTGCTCCTGGGGAGCCTCCTTTAAATTTACGAGACGGACATTTTGTTGAAAACCGGAAGGTTCTATCTATTTTACTTTTGGAGATATTCCCCGGCTGGTAGGGTTTGCTGGGCCTATAACCTACGCGCGTTCAAAAGAATTTGCACTTTCATTTTAAAACGTTCACTTTGACGAACCATAACTTTCCACCAATCAAGTCAAATTTCAATTTTAAAATATCAAAAGAAAGTAGAGAATTTCGCCAACAAGAAAGGGGACTCCTGGATATGATGGGTAGGTAAAAACGCGATCTACGCCCTCAAAATCGACTTTTAAAACTTCATACTGCATATTCCGCCGAAATTATAAGTCTTATATCGCAAAACATCCCCCTACCTCCCTGCAACTCCCCCCCCCTTCCATTTCCCCCCTTCCTTCTGCTTTCTTTTGCAGCTGAACTATGAACTCTCATGCAGCTCTCTTGCCTACCCAGAAAACCTTACCGCCTGCTGGGCTTGCTAGAGGTGATAGATTTTCAACAGCACGTTTGGCGTCGCGCGTCACATCGAGTTTACCTTTCGCACGCTGCATTTAGTTTAGTAGTCATGACAACGACATGACTTTGCAAAGTTTAAAAGCTGTGACCTTTTATTTAGCCAAAAATCAAACTTTTCGGTTTAATTCAGAATCTAAGTTGTCCCCAATTGTGCTCCTGGGGAGCCTCCTTTAAATTTACGAGACGGACATTTTGTTGAAAACCGGAAGGTTCTATTTATTTTACTTTTGGAGATATACCCCGGCTGGTAGGGTTTGCTGGGATCTGTTCCAGGACTGTCGACGAGTCCAACTCGGCGCGCGTCCTGGTAGGTTGTAAACCTACAACAGTACCATCCGTCAAAATTGCAATGGAGATTTACAATGTTTCCCGATATGACTAGCGCTCGATTTTTTACGAATTTGTTGGTGCGCGCGGCTCATCAAAAAATTTCATTCAAAATTTGAAACACAAACTTTTTTTAACGGGTGATACTCGTAAAATATCTGTTTCATATTATGGACCGTCGACGAGTCCAACTCGGCGCGCGTCCTGGTAGGTTGTAAACCTACAAACTTTTTAATAATAACATAATTTGTAATCCAAAACACTTTTTATGACAAATCATTACAAATTGGCAAAAAATGGTTATGTTAGATTACGTGACATAATAACATGGCACGCTAATAAATTATTTAATTGACGATGTCAATTCGTTGTAGGTTTATAACCTAACAGGACGCGCGCCGAGTTGGACTAGTCGACGGTAATATTTGATCGACGTTAATTAATTCGTTGCAGCTGATCGGCAAGGCCCACCAGCGCATTTCGTCGATCTAACGAAAAAGCGTTATATGAGAAAATGGAGAAGCACGGATGTTACTCGTCTAAATTTCTTCGAAGTAAGTAAAATACAATTTTAAGTAAAATACAATTTTTATTTTCCACAGAAGAATCAATACATATTGAATTATAAATATCCGATAATTCCATTAATAATCATTAAAAGTTGCTTTGTCATTTGTAAAATCAAGAACGAAAAGCCGTACGCTGAACTGTGAACGCGCGCGGCGTTTTTTCTGCAGCTGCCTAGCTTCAAGCTTGTAGCCGCTAACATCAAAGCCGCCGCGCGCGCCCAGTGCTGGGGTGCATTCTCATTAACAATTAAACTTTGTCAAAGATAGTTATATACAATTCCTAAATTAAATCAATAAACATGTTAATATGAGTATTCAACACTAATCGACAACAAATATTTGCCGGCCCATCAACGATTCAGTCGCCGAAACAAAAATCAAATGTTTGCTTTTTCGTTTCGGGGACTGTTTCATGTTTGTACTATTGACTATATCCGACTAATCATACTTTATAATGGTTAAAATACAAAGTAAAAAGATTTTCCTCGATGGGCCGGCATTCGCAACCGCGAAACGTTTTGAGTACGGCAAACGATGACACCACCACCAGCCGTTAATTAATAAGTCCATGGGTGACGGGATAAAGTTAAAGTAAGATGTGTAATTTCATATTGCCTATCACCTATCACCAAAGTTACTTTGCATTTGATTCACGATGTCAATCCTTCGCATCTCGCCGATCTGCATACGATCTGTGGTTGCGAGAAGCATTATTGGATGCGCGCGCGCGACCCAGTAGTGCATCGCGCTACAACTTTGCATATACTGCTTCTAGTTACACGATAGCGATCTCAGTTCCCAATAACGTGTGACCCAACAGAAGGGATTGTGGAAGGACACGTACATTTTTCATTAACACGTGTCCTGATTACGCCCTCTGTTGAGCTACTATACGCGCCCCGCTTTCTTCTCGAAATGTTATGACCCGATGGCAGTTGCTACGAAATAGCGCACGCTGGGCCAGGCCTTTAGCATTATTGGATGCGCGGCGCAGTATTCAATACACAGTAACTCATCGCGATACAAATAAATCCCTATATTGTATATACTACAAACGTAGCGCTATTTTCTAAAAGAGATCGCAATTGAGAGAAACCAGAAGCGAGCAAGAGACTTGCAAGCTAGGTAAGTGTAATTTATACAACAAATTGTCCATTCTTACTGAGCCGCGCTCAGCCTGTCATTCCGCCTAATCTCTATTATGTTTATAAACATGATAGCCGGAGGTCCCCAGGTAAGTCCATTCGTAATGCAAATGGACTGACCCAGCCGTGCAGTCGTGCGCTTGCCCCACGCTGTGCACAGGAGGGGCGAGGGCCAAAGTGCAAAGAAACTACTGCTAACTGCTCTCCTGTGTGTGGGGCGTGGGCCTTGTATGCTACGCCATAGGCATAAATGTGCGGCCATATCGATTATTGTTGTATCACGTCGTGCGACCCCCACTGTCGTTTCACTAGTATCGTGGCCACGATACAGCCGCGCGGCAGCTCTACAACGTATGACAACAAGGTTCATGTAACTATGTAAAACTGTTTTGGTTGCAAAACCATGAAAACCAAAGTAACGTGATAATTATAAGGCGAGCGAATTAGTAAAAGCCGCCGTCGATATTTTGATATTTGGCCTTGTACATCAAAGACTAAAGGCCGGAGTGCCAGCTAGGTATGAGGTAACTGTTTCCAAAGTAAGCATGATAATGCGCATCACAGCGGCGACGACCTTCAACCACATACAAACAAATTTGCGTTGACAATAATTATAGCAGTTTTTTTCTCCACAACTCTCAGGCGTGATTCGAAACATATATTTTTTAGCCATACCACTTTCATATGATTTAATATATGTATAATTTATAAATTTAGTAATTTGTAAGAAAAACAACTTTTAAACTGACGTAATATCTGATTTTGCTTCAATCAAAAACAGTCAAAAAATTTCCATAAAAGCGTCCCCACAGTTAGGTTTGTAAAAAGCTAGTATATAATTTAACAATAGAAAACAGTTTCCCTATACCATTAATATCAAAACAAACAGTCATCCAAGTCAATACACAAAGTTCAACACTGACAAATCTTCACTCATAAAGCAACACACAGTCAAATTACATACATTTTTCCAGCTTAAGCATCGTTTATTCCTGACGAACACGAGGCATCAACAGCTCGAAAGAATAGGTGGTTGAAAAACCTTAATAGGTGGTCGAACAACCTTAATCGTAAACTTCTGAAAATATTTACACGACAGATCAACAATAACTTATACTTAAAGACGTAAAATCACAACTCAGTTAGCTGTAATATTATCGATATCTGACTGACGGTTTAACAGTAAACTGGATAAATAATTAACAATTATCAGGGTCAAATAGTCTGTGAACAGTTTATGTCTTAATGTCCTCTATTTCGGCGTCCTTGGTAACCAAAGATTCGAGAAGTTTCTTAACTTCCCCCTGTTGACGAGCTGGCATTTTCTGGAGAAGTCCAATAACTGCTTCCAAAGCAGTATCGTCATTGGTGCTGGCCAACCTAAAAACGATACAATGTCAATACTAGGAGATATTAAATGATTCATCACAATTTCTGTGGTTAACGATCCAAATAAGGTCATTGGGCCTTAGGGGAGAAAGGAGATCCAGCAACCATCGACTAAATTAAATAAGTTAGTATGGGATGGTAAGTCATCCTTGCCTAATCTTACAGAAACTAGGCGGTTAAGGGCAGGAAATCTCTTTTTTCAAGCGGCCTATCATGCACGTTATGCATCTCAATATAGCAATAAAAAATAATATAAAACTATAATGATAAATATTAGCTTACGTATCAATCTTTTGAATGAGAGCATCCTTCTGTATCATACGAATATTCTCTGAAATGGACTGTCGTTCCTCTGGATCATCTAACCAGGCAGCCACAGCCTTATCATCATCCCATAGATAATTTTGCACGGGTCCCTTGGACTCGATAAACCATCGTCTCAACATAGACAACAACTGTCCGTGATTCACATTCCTGAATTCAGGAATCGTAAAGAATACGTCAGATAGTATTTACTAAATAGTAAAGATACGGGGTTAGCTGGGTAATACATAGTGTCCCAAAAAAAGCAACCAAGTGTTAATAGCTCAAGAACTCATAGGATATGACCTCTGGAAGAATGGGCGGTATTTTCCCCCGAATTTCAGGTATTTTCAAAAGAAGATACATCAGATTTTTGTATTATCCCGTCCATTTCAATGTTTAATGTTCAGTAGATTTTTATGAATTGCATTATTGTGCCTTTTCTGATTCCTAGTGATCTAGTTCGGTAGATCGATTGAATTGATTAAATATCAAATATAATTGCATGCGCTCGCTTGATCGATCTCGGGTGCACGTGCGCGCGCGTCGCATGCACAAACGCGCGATAAAATCAAAATAAAAACCTTCGCGTGCGGCTCTACCACGCGGATTTAGGAATGTTTTTCAGGAGATTCCAGACCGGCGTGATAGTCGCACTTCCATCCGCATGCTGGCGTGGGGAGCCTGCCAGCGTTCGGACAACCGGCAGGATCTAACCTACAAACTAGTCGGTCTTTACTTAATTCGCATGATGACGACAACAAGGTATATAGTATCACGCCACTGCCCACTCGTTCGGGCATGGGGCTTGGGATAAGAAGAAAAAACACGCTGGATAATTATAATGAGGCCATAAAGTGGGATGTTATGCAATCTTACTTGTTAGCAACTTTGACTTGCTTCTCCACATCAAACTCAAGAATCCTTCTCTTTACTTTCCAATAGAAGAACTCCCTAGCCGTTCTCCAGTCTAATATGTCCCTGACGACTCCTTTAGCTACCATTCGTTGCGGTGTGTCATGCAGATCAGCAAATGTTGTAGAGATCTTAGTAAGGGGAAAAGTGGTCGATTTAAGGGTTCCGTTGGATTTAAATGTTCACAAGGATTTAGCAACGGAATATGGTAGTTAGAACCCCTACGAACATAATTAGACTTGTCACCAATTTTGTATCTCGACAGAAACACCACTTTTTACCACTTTTTACCACCTTTGTACCACCTTTCTAGTTTGCCAAATATCTTTAGTTGTGAACGTCGTAGAAGGCTGGAAATTAACCTAGAATGTTTATCTTATCAAGGAGTAAAACTTTTGTACGAAAAATTTGTACATTGGAGCTAATTGGATAATTACTAATTAGTTAATTACCAAAAAAAGTGAAAAATTGTTATTGGCTCAAAATGATTAAAATCGTTTGAAACACGGAGAAATGTAGTTTTTAGAAAAACTTCAAAACTTTTTCACTTACAAATTTTTTTCGAGACTTGAAAAATTTCGAAAATTTGAAAAAAAAATTTCCGCCAAAAGTGATCGAATTGCATGAAACGTGGATAAAAATGCTTTGCAGAAAAACTTCGAACATTTTTAGATTGGGGAATACTAAAAACAAAAGGACCGTTTAAGATCGAACCGATTTCACCTGCTGTATACTATCATTTTATTGATTTCAATGATCAAAACCTCTCTGTACCGTCAATCTTGCCAATCTACACCGGGTATCTGAATGTACCGGACCTCTTCTTTGCCTCTATAATAATTAGACCCAGTTGTGCAAGAAATGCGATTTCTCACAGGGGCTTCTTTTAACTGTGCACCTTTTGTCACTCTCGCAAGAGGCCTGGTATAATTATAGGGGGGTATAGGAAGTGTAAATATACCTTCCATCATCCACTGTGGCTTTTTTGTGTTGTGAATGCACATGCCGCTTCGTTTGCTATGCAAGATACCTCGAATAACCCCCATATGTCATTGCCAGGGTCGGGATAGAGCCGGAGATAGCATTGAGAGGTTGCTAGAAATAACTAGACTTAGAATAAAGTCTAGCTATCAGATTATGATGAAAGGCTGTTAAGCTTAGGGGTGGGCGACAATTGACCCCCCGACAATTGACCCCCGACAATTGACCTCCGACAATTGACCCCCAGAAATATAATTTAATACAATTAATCCTGACCCTGACCCTGACCCTGACCCTGACCCTGACCCTGACCCTGACCCTGACCCTGACCCTGACCCTGACCCTGACCCTGACCCTGACCCTGACCCAGGACCCTGACCCTGACCCTGACCCTGACCCTGACCCTGACCCTGACCCTGACCCTGACCCTGACCCAGGACCCTGACCCTAACCCGATCAACTGACTCCAGTGTAATTACATGGGGGGTCAATTGTCGTACTAAGCCCTAGATTTTGCGACATTTGACGCCAGTGTAATTACATAGGGGGTCAATTGTCGGGGGGTCAATTGTTAGGGGGTCAATTGTCGCGGTACAAAGCTCAGGACGGTGATCTTGATAGGTCGGATAGCTGTACCTGATTGGTTCCAGCCCACCGTGTCGCTTGGAATTAAGTTCTCACCCCACCTCTTCCAAAAATGCGGTTACCAGAGCAGGAAACTCTTCTTCCTCCTCTTCTTTCAACCCAAACACAATCAGGTTCCTGCTCCTCTCCTCCTCTGCAGCCAGAAATCTTATCTCCTTCTTCGGCGTTTTACTGTTGCAGACTGTATCACTTGCACTGTTCTTTTGCAGTACTCCTGCACTGTTACACTGTAGCTCTGTGTCCCTGACTCCACCGTGGTTTGCACTGCCCCTAAACTGCAATCTTAAGTAACTTTAGTTCCGGCACTCTTTGGCCATTAAAATAACCAACTCCAATGAAACCCCGTGTAGCTACGTTCTGCTACCTCCATGCTAGCACCACCCAGCTACCACCAGTTTATTCTAAGTCTAGCTATTTCTAGCAACCTCTCAATGCTATCTCCAGCTCTATCCCGACCCTGGCAATGACATATGGGGGTTATTCGAGGTATCCTGCATAGCAAACGAAGCGGCATGTGCATTCACAACACAAAAAAGCCACAGTGGATGATGGAAGGTATATTTACACTTCCTATACCCCCCTATAATTATACCAGGCCTCTTGCGAGAGTGACAAAAGGTGCACAGTTAAAAGAAGCCCCTGTGAGAAATCGCATTTCTTGCACAACTGGGTCTAATTATTATAGAGGCAAAGAAGAGGTCCGGTACATTCAGATACCCGGTGTAGATTGGCAAGATTGACGGTACAGAGAGGTTTTGATCATTGAAATCAATAAAATGATAGTATACAGCAGGTGAAATCGGTTCGATCTTAAACGGTCCTTTTGTTTTTAGTATTCCCCAATCTAAAAATGTTCGAAGTTTTTCTGCAAAGCATTTTTATCCACGTTTCATGCAATTCGATCACTTTTGGCGGAAATTTTTTTTTCAAATTTTCGAAATTTTTCAAGTCTCGAAAAAAATTTGTAAGTGAAAAAGTTTTGAAGTTTTTCTAAAAACTACATTTCTCCGTGTTTCAAACGATTTTAATCATTTTGAGCCAATAACAATTTTTCACTTTTTTTGGTAATTAACTAATTAGTAATTATCCAATTAGCTGATTGTCCAATGTACAAATTTTTCTTATAAAAGTTTTACTCCTAGATAAGATAAACATTCTAGGTTAATTTCCAGCCTTCTACGACGTTCACAACTAAAGATATTCGGCAAACCAGAAAGGTGGTACAAAGGTGGTAAAAAGTGGTAAAAAGTGGTGTTTCTGTCGAGATACAAAATTGGTGACAAGTCTAATTATGTTCGTAGGGGTTCTAACTACCATATTCCGTTGCTAAATCCTTGTGAACATTTAAATCCAACGGAATGCCACTTTTCCCCTTACTATCTGGAAAAAGGGAAATGGTAATTTGTGCGAACTAGTTGTGATTGTAGTTGCAGCATAATTATCTTTAAAGCTAAATCAAGAGGTATCCAGAATTCTCAGACACAGTTTAAGCAATATTTAAACAGCAATTTCCCACAATAAAAATTACCATATGATATGCAGGCAAGAGATAAGCCTCTCTATTCCTCAACTCAGCTACACGTTTCTTCCTTTCTTCGTGTGGCATTTCTTCTTTGCTGTTCTTCAAGAAGAGCTCATTGTAGAGCGGATCTATTCTCTTCATGGTTTGGACGAGATCTCTCTGTTTAAACTGAACAGCGACAGTGCCCTCAGGCTCTAAAACTCCTCCCCTGCAATCAGAATTAATTAATGTCACAGATTTGTTACAATCACTAAGCATCACTTAGCTGTAATAAACAGGAAATTGCTCACGTGACTGCTAACTGAAGATATATCACAGTTCACCGCTTCTTTTTAAGACTAAGTGAATTTATTAAGTGACTTAGCGCTAAGATTACCTGGAATCTTTGTCTGCGTACATTTCCATTACATCGGGGTTTATTTTGGGATCAACAACGACCCACGCGCCACCACGTAGCTCTCCAAATGGTGGAATGTATACGAACACCGGCTGCTTGTACTCGACCAATCCGTCCACAATGTACGCACCGTACTTCAGGATTTCTCCGTACATATCTGGGATTATTGCAATGTTTGTCTTACACACGTCTAAACTTTCAGAATTTAGTTCTGATAATACCACAACATGTTGATTGTTGAACATTCAAATTAAAACCTACAGAAAAAAGGACTTAAACAAACCTCTCATGCCTCCACTGAATCCTCTCCAGTTAGCAAATATAATGAGCGGGAGTTCCTCTCTGTTGAAGTCCTTGATAGCCTGAGCAGTCTTGTAAGCGGAGTCCGGGAACCAGACTTGTCCAGCTTGTTGGGTTAACTTGGTCTCCGTGTCCAAGTTAGCTGGGTCTGCCGGATCCTCACACTCCACCGACCTGGTTTCAGGACATATCACTCCCATGGGAATACCACCCAGCCTAGCTCTTCCAGTTATCACTGTTTTAGCCCAGTTGTTCAGACACTCCACCCACGAGCCCTTGTCAAAGAAGCCACTAACCCAGTTTCCATCGACAGTTGTTCCAGCTATCATATTCCGGGGATCGTAGGGAACTTTAGTGGGCATAAAGTCAATAGGTCTGGTTACTGGGTCAGTGGTGAGCCCTATAGGGAGAGAGGCACCTTTGTGTCGAGGAATGTAGGACAACCACTCCAATATCTTCATGACCCCACTAATATCATCCTTGACCGTGTGATGGGAGACTCCGTTATTGTACATTATCTGAGTACCTCCCAGTTGGGTGTTACTAGTGTACACCTGCCAGTAATAATAGGTTAAAGTAGACAAGTCTAGTTGTTTTGTAACAACAATAACAGCACCAGTGCTGTGTATTATAAGTCAGACTATTGTGTTATAACCAAGGATTGTTGTGGATCTTGGATTTTCCAAGCAACAAATTATATGGAATAATGCCATGTTCTAGACGAGAAATTGCTGTTGTGTACAAATAATTATGCAGTTTTCAGCAGTAATTATGTGGTGTGAAGAAGAATTATTATTATTCATTTATACGTGAAACTGTAAATTTACCGGCAGAACAATGTCATGTGTAATTCACAAATTTAAAACGAGAAAAAAAGGATCAAATCTCTTTCGGTTTTCGTACCTGTCTGCCGAGGACCATGTTCAGAGAGTTAGCCCCAGTCAAGATAATACAAGAGTTATCAACTTGTACAGTACGCTGACCAAGACGAACTAGGTACGCGCCGATACCGACACTCCTGCAAGTCACCTGAAACGAGGCTGATATAAACTAGCTGCTTCAATTTACATGGATCACCGAACAGATTAGAGGGGTCCAGAAAATCTAGTCTGTTCTACAAACAAAAAGCCAAATTCATTATCTCCCAAGAAACTTACCAGACTAATAGTGAAGACTTCGTCGTAAGCTCGAGAAGTTTCCCCAGCAATCATACCAGACCCCTGCAAGTTCTCAACACCAATACCATCCTTCTCACCCACAATGGTCGTTATCTTGTACCTGTGAAGAAGATGTAAAACTTACATGTCCGTAAATAGGTTGATAGATTAAGTTTTAAAGTGCAGTAAATGTTAATTACAACGGTTGTTGCATTTTGTCTAACACAAACTTTAAAATTGACCGCAATACAATAAGAATTATTCTACAGACCACAGCATATTCACGTGCACACACATAATAAATCTTGTGAAATGCTTATTAAATGCGGGTAATTTTACGATTTACTTCTTGGTACTTCGGTGTGAATATCCATCGATCGCCATTTAAATGCGCATAATATTGAAAAAAAAATTTACGATGGTAATATTTCTGATTGAAAAGCACTCTGATAAAATGTTATTAAGCTGTGTTTAATTTTGTAGCACTGCAATATAATGTAGGGAATTCATTATCTTATCTACCAATTACCATTCTCTATTTTTCTCCAAACAATAATCAGGAAAACGCACACACAAAAACAGGGCACAGACTAACAAAAATGTAAAAACACGAACAGACAGACAGACACACGCACAAACCTGCTTTCTCCCTCACAAACAGACAGACACACGCACAAACCTGCTTTCTCCCTCATCCTCAATAAGCTCTGCCTGCACACTGTTCTTACTGGAGATAGTCTTATAATCCGCGGGTGTGAGATACAGGTACTTGAACCCCTTATCAGGGTGAGCGCTGTCTATCCAGCACACTCTGAACATTGTTTTTATCTCGTCTGCTAGTCCTATCCTGGCTCCACTGTTCACTGAAAAGAGGAAACTCATGGACGAGGTTGTTTAAAACATATTATAAGTGATACGGAAGATTTATTAAGCAGGAGCCTTCTCAAAATACTTGTGTAAATCGTCTTCAGCTCCAGTCATGGGTTAAACGGAAATAGAATATATATAGCACGGAGTATCTATTACATGTATAATGTATTAGACATGAATTGGAGAATAAATACGAATTGTAAATAGGTAAATAGTCAAGCACAGACTTTGATATTTCGGAAATGACGAGGCATACATGTTTACCTGATAAATATATTCTGGGAAGTTTGTGAGCTCTAGAAAACTCAGAAGCTCTCATATACAGCTTATCCTCTTCTGGTCCAAACGTTCCAATCTTGAAGGTGATATCATTAGCAATAACGATAACATCCCGTCCCTCGGGATACTCCGGGACAAACAAGGTCATCTTCCAAGCTATCATCCCGGTATCATTCTGTCCCGGAACTCTGTGTATCTCTATCAAGTGATCATGGCTATCCAACACCAGCTCCGTGAACCTCACAAACTCTTTGGGTATGACAGATTTAGGGAGGGAATGTTGTTTGACGTGTAGTATCCACCTCGTCTTGCAAGCTTCCCTGAACATGTCCGGAAAGTCGTACACGTACGTGGTCTCCATCAGCTGGGCGGAGCAGCGTTTCTGTTGCAGGAAGTCCCGGGTCAGGTAGGGAGCGTTGACTGCGATACCGTGCATGGGTCCTTGTACTTCCTCAAAGCTTGAGAGGTAGGAGATACCTAGTAGTGGGTGGATTTGTTGTTATATTAATTAGAAGTTACATTTGTAAAGCGATAAGAGAAGGACTCAAGGACAATAGTGTGAGTATTGCTTCAGGTCAGTGAAAAAACTGTGCAATCATTGTATTTAGTTTGTTTGAAGTGAATAGCACCGGAAGTAGATACAAAGTGAACAGTACTAGAATTCAGCAAAATACAAAAATGTAACCGATGCGGTGTTGAAAATATCCGCAAAAATTTTCCCTCATTATCCAATCAAAAAATTCCGGCACTTTAACTGGCAAACTTCCAACACTACTGTCATCATGACACGTGACCTCCTAGTACCTGAGTTAGGATCCTCCACTGCGGTGTAGATGTTAGTATCAATACTGTAACCACTCTCAGTGTTAACGAAGAACCTGAAACTCTGCTCCGGACTCTCTGCTGTTTCTCTCAACTTCATCTTCAGTTCAGCTTGTAGAACTCGCAATTTCCACAACCGCTTTCCGTATCTCTCAATAAACTGTTTTACCTGGATATACAGCGGTGATGAATTTTCTTATTATGGAATAATAATATGAGTGTTGCATGGTTGCTGAACTTAATATTTTTGATGGAATGAGTACTGGTACATAAAGATTATTTACGAGCACATTCATTATATTATCTCGAAGGCTGATTAATCAGCTCGTGAGATTGTTTTGGACCCGGCCTGCTATATCACAGAAAGTATATACCAGTATATATTATATAACAGAAAGTTTATCCTTTTCTCGATTATTTTACAAGTTACAACTTGAGAGATGGACCAATCTCGACCACCATCTCGCCACCATTATTACCACTACCCGCAGCATTATTTGGGGGGGGGGGGGGGGGGGGGGGTCATTTTTGTTAGCCCAGTATTACCACCCACCATTTGTTTTACCTTCTCTTTAACGATCATTGGATGGATGACCATGCAGGGAACAAAGTTAAGGAAGATGTGATTACAGTCGCTCTTCCTATACTTGAGATTTGACATGGCCACTTCTAGTTCGTTCAGGGACTCTTGCAGATACTTCTCTCCTGAAATTTAGCGGGTTTTTAGTTTTTTTAAAGGTCGAAATCTCTTCTTCTAGATACAGGTAAACATCAGCAACATGTTCACTAATACTTTCGCTTGTTGACTTACAGAATGATACATTATAGTTATATTGTAATTGTTTTATAAGTTTGAAACATTGAAGGTTTGAATAAAAAGATCAGCTGATAGAACAATTTATGAAAGGTAGAGTTGAGAGGCATATCAGCAGTCACGGCACTGGTTTTTGTTAAACTGACAGTTTTATACGGTACACCACTGCTGTACTATTTCAAAGTAAACACTGGCTCTCACCCGGGGGCATGAAATATCAATCAGTTGCTCAGAGAGAGTCCGATATTCCCATAGGAACAAGGAGCCCACTCTCAACAACTGTTCTACTACTGTGAGGTACTGATTTAAATAAAGATTTAAATCAACAACCTGAAGTAGTCTATGACTATGGAAGCGCATGTGTGTCAAAAAAATAATGATACACATGCGCTTCCTAGGTAGCGTATGTGTGTCAAAAATTTTTTTGATACACATGCGCTAGCAGGTTTATCATGTAAATCATTATGTGGCCCATGTGTGTCATTTTTGTAAAATTGCTGTAAAATCTCTATTCAATATTCTAATCGCTATCTTGATCTATTTATATATGTATTTTATCCTTATCTCTATTTTATCTTTAAACTCCTCTCCGCCGATCGCCTCCCGTGTGAAACGAGCGCGCCTGCACGCTGCAGTGGCGCGAAAGCACATGGTTAGGTTAAAGCGCGTGTACTGTTGCTGCACAGGCTATAATGTTAACTGACAATGTCAATTCATCGCAGCTCGGCAAGGCACAGTAGCACATTTCACCGAATTAGCGTTGCAAGAAGAATAATCAATAATTGAATGCGCGGCGCGGCACAGTAACGGATCGTGCTACAAGCTATAATATTTATAAACATACTCATTGGACAATGGAGCTATGGAGGAATGAAGCTGCCTGCTGCGCGTAGCATGACAGCTACCAAGAATTGCATATTGAAGCGTGTACGCCGATGCATGACAGGCAAGCTCCTGTGTCCTGGTTTCGTGCGCGAAGATCGAAATGCAATTATTCGTGTATCAAGCCAACTGCCAAGTGCCAACAATGTGTTTATTGTTAGAAATGATAATGGACTAACCCGTTTCGGGATACTTCGTAGCAACTAGCAAGCTTGCTGCGCATCGATCTAATAATGCTTCTGATCTCGTTGTAAGGCCACCTTGTTTGTCGTTAGATATAGGCAAAATGCACCCAGCACCCCTGTGCCCTGCGGACCTCGCTGAGCTGCTATGCAAAGCGAAAAAGCAAAGACTCAATGGATGGTTATATTAGTGGTTACCCATACCGTAATGGGTGCTACATGCCTAGCATGAAATATTTACTTACTTACTTGCACTTAATTTTTGTATTATATTTATATGTTCATAATCATATAAATTCGGCGGAATGACAGGCTTGAGGCTGAGTAAACTTCGCATCGAAAAATCCAAACGAGTAACATCCGTCAACTAATAGTTATATGTAATAATTGAAAACAAACTTTGCTTGTTTACCTGAAATTAGAATTTTATACAATTAATGTAAGATTGAAGTCGTGTTTTTACCAATTTCCCTACACCATCCGGTAAATTAATTACCCTCAGCCCTTCGTTGTGCCTGTGGGCTGCGCGGTCGTATCGTAGCTTTCGCCACGGTATCCGTATAGCGGGGGCGAAATGAATTACAAATGAGGATCGCGACGCGTGACTTGTAAGTTTATAACCTACCAGGACGCGCGCCGAGTTGGACTCGTCGACGGTCCTGATTAATATTTGAAGCAAATATTTTACGACTACAAGTATCAGTGATACTATCACCCGTTAAAGAAAGGATTGGAAATTGAACTCGCCGCGCCGGTATGTCGACAGATGATGCTTGTCTAAATTTTTTCGAAGTAACACGAAAAACTTTCTTTTCAAAGCGAAATGTTTGTGTTACTGGGCGGCGCTCAGCCTGTGCCTTTTCAATGTCATTCCGCAACCCACAACCGTTTATCATTTACGAACGAATAAAAAACAACGTCAATATTTTACATGTCACAGCACACAGTAAGCTGGCAGTACGGCCCAGTTAATAAATTGTGCATCGCGCCGATCAAGAAAAAAACATTATTTGATGCGCTGATCAGTCTTCTAAGACTAATAATATAAAACATCGTTTCTTTTGTCCGTAATTGCCTGTACTGCGTGAAAATTACAAAATAATTACAGCACATTTACAAAATAAGAATAATAAAAAAGGAAACGTGTTTTCTCGTTTATAATTCATAATTATTTTTAGAATAACGCTTTAGTGTTAATGCAATCATAGTGGTCAGCTAGTGACATGGCTATGACGCCTTTTTCTTACATGGTTTAGGTTATGACATGGTTATGACATGGTTATGACATGGTTATGACATGGTTATGACATGGTTATTGGTTATGACATGGTTATGACATGGTTATGACATGGTTATTGGCTATGACATGGTTATAACCAAAACTCCTTCAGACCAATTTTGAACCATTATGAGCACTTTCAGGATACAATTCATTTCCGTTCATTTCCGTTCATTTCCGTTCATTTTATGAACCTGGGTCATTTTGTGCGACTTTTGAGGCCTAGTTTATGACACTATCTATCATAGAAAACCGAATTAGGGGTTCCCAGCCCTTACGTAATAAGTCTCAAATTTAAATGACACACATGCGCCACCTATTGATTTACATGATAAACCTGATAGCGCATGTGTGTCAAAAACAAAAGTGACAGACATGTGCTACCAGGTTTATCATGTAAATCAATAGGTGGCGCATGTGTGTCATTTCAATTTGAGACTTATTACGTAAGGGCTGGGAACCCCCAATTCGGTTTTATATGATAGATAGTGTCATGAGCTAGGCCTAAAGAGTCGCATCGAAAGTCGCACAAAATGACCCAGGTTCATAGAATGAACGGAAATGAACGGAAATGAACGGAAATGAACGGAAATGAATTGTATCCCAAAATTGCTCATAATGGTTCAAAATTGGTCTGAAGAGTTTGGTTGGCCCTAGGACCACCCTATGACATGGTTATGACATGGTTATGACATGGTTATGACATTGTTATGACATGGTTATGACATGGTTATGACATGGTTATGACATGGTTATGACATGGTTATGACATGGTTATGACATGGTTATGACATGGTTATGACATGGTTATGACATGGTTATGACATGGTTATTGGTTATGACATGGTTACAACCAAAACTCCTTCAGTCCAATTTTGAACCATTATGAGCACTTTCATGATACAATTCATTTCCGTTCATTTCCGTTCATTCTATGAACCTGGGTCATTTTTTGCGACTTTCGATGACCTCTAGGCCTAGCTTATGACACTATCTATCATAGAAAACCGAATTGGGGGTTCCCAGCCCTTACGTAATAAGTCTCAAATTTAAATGACACACATGCGCCACCTATTGATTTACATGATAAACCTGATAGCGCATGTGTGTCAAAAACAAAAGTGACAGACATGCGCTACCAGGTTTATCATGTAAATCAATAGGTGGCGCATGTGTGTCATTTAAATTTGAGACTTATTACGTAAGGGCTGGGAACCCCCAATTCGGTTTTCTATGATAGATAGTGTCATAAAGTAGGCTTCGAAAGTCGCACAAAATGACCCAGGTTCATAGAATGAACGGAAATGAACGGAAATGAATTGTATCCTGAAAGTGCTCATAATGGTTCAAAATTGGTCTGAAGGAGTTTTGGTTGTAACCATGTCATAGCCAATAACCATGTCATCACCATGTCATAACCATGTCATAACCATGTCATAACCATGTCATAACCATGTCATAACCATGTCATAACCATGTCATAACCATGTCATAACCATGTCATAACCATGTCATAACATGTCATAACCATGTCATAGGGTGGTCCTAGGGCCAACCAAACTCTTCAGACCAATTTTGAACCATTATGAGCAATTTTGGGATACAATTCATTTCCGTTCATTTCCGTTCATTTCCGTTCATTCTATGAACCTGGGTTATTATGTGCGACTTTCGATGACCTCTAGGCCTAGCTTTCGATGACCTCTAGGCCTAGTTTATGACAATATCTATCATAGAAAACCGAATTTGGGGTTCCCAGCCCTTACGTAATAAGTCTCAAATTTAAATGACACACATGCGCCACCTATTGATTTACTTGATAAACCTGGTAGCGCATGTCTGTCACTTTTGTTTTTGACACACATGCGCTATCAGGTTTATCATGTAAATCAATAGGTGGCGCATGTGTGTCATTTAAATTTGAGACTTATTACGTAAGGGCTGGGAACCCCCAATTCGGTTTTCTATGATAGATAGTGTCATAAGCTATGCCTAGAGGTCATCGAAAGTCGCAAAAAATGACCCAGGTCACAGGTTCATAGACTGAACGGAAATGAACGGAAATGAATTGTATCATGAAAGTGCTCATAATGGTTCAAAATTGGACTGAAGGAGTTTCGGTTGTAACCATGTCATAACCAATAACCATGTCATAACCATGTCATAACCATGTCATAACCATGTCATAACCATGTCATAACCATGTCATAACCATGTCATAACCATGTCATAACAATGTCATAACCATGTCATAACCATGTCATAACCATGTCATAGGGTGGTCCAAGGGCCAACCAAACTCTTCAGACCAATTTTGAACCATTATGAGCAATTTTGGGATATAATTCATTTCCGTTCATTTCCGTTCATTTCCGTTCATTCTATGAACCTGGGTCATTTTGTGCGACTTTCGATGATCTCTAGGCCTAGCTCATGACACTATCTATCATATAAAACCGAATTGGGGGTTCCCAGCCCTTACGTAATAAGTCTCAAATTGAAATGACACACATGCGCCACCTATTGATTTACATGATAAACCTGGTAG